TCATGGCGCCAAAATTTTCTGTCCACCAAACCAATCGGCTTTCTTACGTTGACCGCGCGCATCCTCAATTGCAGTGTAACTGAAATGGAAGGGCCTCATTACTGTTTGTTCATGGTTTCGCAACCCGATCATTCACAAGAGACCAAGGCAGTGGACAGAGAGAGAGAACGAGTGAGAGAAGGAACAGGTTTGATTGAGATCACAATTACAATGCGATAAAACAAATGTGAATAGACAGGAAACTGGAGGAAAAGAGTATGAGTTGTACTTTGGCAAGAGGTGTGCAACAGATTTGCTCTTTTTTTTCTGAAGCGGCATGTGAAAGATGGAACAAACCAAAGGCGGGGAGGGGGGAGGGATCTGGCGCCTACGCTTAACCCGCCGGAATTTGCCTGTACGCGGCGACCGAATCTGATGAGTATGTTACAGTTCGGTAAAAAGGCCAATAAAATGTTCCGATCGTGATGGGAATATACAGAGTTGCACAGGAAAATCCATGCGTGGTACGGTTCCACATTCATAGATTACCCGATGCGGGTGGGGATGGTTGATTCTTTCGATGTAGCTAAGATTGACGAGGTGGAGAGAAGAAATATGCCAAGGTTACCAAACTCATTCAGAATGAATAAGTTTAAAAAAAAACTGAAAAGTTTACAACATTATGTAGGCTTGCCGCATTATTCTGGTTAACATCTTTTGCACTGTTTGACAAATCTTATCAAATCATTGGTAAAACCCACCAATGTTACCAACACACTAACTATAGAACCTACCAAATTCATCGATGAATCCTAAATTGTGTAAAAGACATTTCAAAGGATTAAATTTTGCTCCCAAGAAGAAGGCATTTTAGGCTATTACGGTGAATGAGATAGCAACGAAGAGCTAACCCGTCACGTTGTCGACAAAATAAGTGTGCGGACGAAAATCCGGGGCTATAATCGGGCAGGTGGACCACAGTCAGTTTTACTTAGGGCAGTTGGCTGAAAAACCTGATTCCAAACCAACCAAGAGGAGGCGTACGAACCACACCGTCCTGGTCGTGGTGACTGGCTCGATGGGACGTTTGATTCCGTCCAAAGGGCGTATGATCCAATTACCTGGACACTGCCCCGCTGCTTTGCGGATCAGGCTTTGACTAGTCGAAGGCTGCGGTTGTGGATTCGCGTTCCTTGGCCCGTGCAACCTGGCACTATTCGTGGAATGTTTTTCTTTTTATAAAGGTTATTGTACCATGATTTGTTAGGCATACGATCTGACGTTTGTGAAATATAATGCATATTGATCGGTTTTATGCCACTTGTTCTGACTGCGGGATTCACCCTCCTTTTGTCCATCGTACAATAATTTATAACAAAAAAAGTTGTTAAATAAACGAGGCAAAAGAATACTATATAACGAGTTGGGTACGATACAAATGATGAAAATACTGCCGGTAAATTGACCTTGAGTATTTAATACACCTACTCTGTTAAGCGAACTCCGGTGATGTCTTCGGCGCTTGCGGACGGAGCCGTTGTGTGAATCTGAGGCGAGTATAAGACGGGAGCTGGGTACAACTATTTCTGTCTTTCGGTTTCCGTTCTCCGAAAGACCGTGATCACTGGGTAATACTCGATCGGTTTGTAAGCCCAGACGGTGATCGCTCGGGAGGCGAACCAAACTGGATGAGCGCAGTCGGTTCATAAAGGATGGTGATGTGCGTCGGTCAACCACTTCGTTCAACACTTCGTGGCTCAACTCGGGGTCAGAATCCATCACACCAAGGGTCAGTCGGGACAAGGGATGTTCGGCATCACTCTCATTATCTTCAAGATAGCCTTCATCATTGTCATGCATAGAGCTTATTAGTGATCGCGGTGGGAACAAGTGTGACATATCCGGTGGCGATTCATGCACAGCATTGGACTCGGTTTGATTGGAGTGATTAGTCTGTTCTGCCTCGGCAGATTGTTTTCGGTGCAAAAACTCCGCTAGAACAGGTAGATGTGAATCCGCCGACGGGTGGTCCAATGCGTCCGAATAGTGGCCTGCTTCTTCCGAGGAATCGTGTGAACTGCTTGACTCGGCCAATGAGACATTCAAACTGGCACTCAGAGCACGACGACGGAAAGTTTCACCATCCGGTAAATTGCGTGAAACTATCCGACTGGCTGAATTCAGGTACGAATAAACTGCCTCAGAAAGAGATCGAACGCCCGGACGTTTGCGCCACGGCCTTCCCATTAGTGAATTGAACAAATCCATGTTGTCGGTCGGTCTGATCTGAGTCCCGGAATTCAGGCTACCATGAGGCTCGGCGCATTCATCGTCCGTGTCTGAAGAACGAGGAAGAATAAATTTAGCAATCGTCTAGAGGAAAAAACATTGAACTATTCTTTGAACTTGTACTGTTTAGAGAATGACGACAATAAAGTAACGACCAATCACGATGGATAGAGTCTACATATGGAATGATCTGTGATTGTTAGGTTCCACTTGCCGTCTACCAAAATATTTTAGCCGGCATGTTCTACCACGAATGAAACGGTACCATCTTCAGAATCTCGTTACCAACAGCAACTGGGCTATCACACTCGAGCCCCCATTTATTGAAGGCACGGGTTACGCAACTGATAAACACGCGCTAATTTGCAAGCAAGTCGTTCCACAGCTTTGCTGTAATACAAATCTACTGAGATAACAAAATTATATCACAGGAAACAGACAGTTTCAATTGGTAGACGGTGGTTTTAACACAGAGGTGTTCACCAGTTTCACTTAACCGTCCACAGGCAAGAAATTTACTCAGCATGTTTCATTGTTCTCAAGCAACGGAACTTGCGAGATAGACGACTCTAAGAGTTAAAATGTTCGCGGTTGTTGTTGGTGCAACCTCATGTGTGTGTGGCAAACTACACCTTTTTATTTGTATTCGCCCAAAGCTGATAAGATTTCCACGAAATCCATACAAATGTTGATAGATTCCATAAAACTTCTGATTAAAAATCTAGGTTTCTACCGGATCACCACTCAGCCGTTATACTCCCAAATAAAGATAGCAGATTGGGGAGAAACCTCATCCAAATTCCGGCCTCCGTGTGTGATTTCTCGAGGACACAGCTACTCAGGTTGGTTTCTTATCTAATGATAGGGTACAAGAAATGACAACAATAACAGAGGCCTATGCAGTCACACTCACCGGAAGTACATATGCGCAATTTCCGTTCAGCTTCCAAGGAGCTGAACGTCTCGGCTAGATCAATGAAAGTTCGTTGACCACCAAAGTCCTGAAAAAATGAATGTTGAGGCCGTTGAAAATACTAAATGAAAACTAAAATTAACAAATACGCATAAAATCTATTTCAATGAATGATTACTTGAAACTACCAGTATCTTTTGCTCCGTCTGTCTTTAGAATGTACGACTCAACGGCACATTCAACACAACAGTGACATGTAGGGTTGCACAGTGTCGGATGTCATTGTTCAGCTTTTCTCGTGCACTTGCACCTAACGGCGGAATCGAGTAACCGTTGGTTAAATCTCTACGCGCATCTATTGCGAATTGATTTGCAAAGGTGTGTTAACAAGAGAAAAAATTCAGGAGGGGGTATCAAAGTTCAGGTTCGATTGATAACGCATTCGCGCTATTTTGATTACTGTCATTAGGACGGAGGAGCAGAAAGCTCGGATCAGTAGAAAGTACTAGTTCTCGTAACAAACACCTCTCTACTCTGGATAGCAGCACTGGTCGCGATGCTGCAGCATACACGGTTACTTTACCTTACTGACGCGTTGGAAAGGATAAGCCGGCTCCAGACATGATCACGAAGTTACTTGGGATTTCAGTTTAGTTTAGCGTCAATCGGCTATTTTATTTTGAGGGCGCACCTATAGCCTTTGTCCAACCTAGTGCGAACTGCAAGGCAGCAGGAAGTAAACCCTCGCCTCGTAATTGAGAGGGTCAATGGCTTTAGTTTTACAAGGGCAGTCACATCGACCTTTGTCACGACACCGTCACTGGGCTCCTGCGGCTTTCAAACAGGAGCCAGGTGACCAGCGTGAAGCGTACCACACCCTGGTAATACCGCCGCTGTTTGTTCGCGACTGCTTATTTGTTGCGGTATGCCACAACTTATTCACCGCTAACCTTCTTCGGTGAAGGTATCCACAACCCGGGGGCGCGCCTAGTGGCATTCAGCTCTGCTTAACCCGAGAGTATCCAGGGTCATACACACGATCCTGCACAACCAAGCGACGCCGCCGTAAATGTCTCACCCGTCAACTTAGACCGCTGTATGCGTGCCAGTAACTGATCCGTGATGCGTACAGTTTTTTTGCGCTTTGAAGATAGAAAAAGCTTGCATTCACTCTTGTACTCAATCTATCCACAAAGGCTTACAGCCCATATTTTACGGTAACAGTATACTGTCGTCTGCATACTCTCGTTTTCACCTGAGAGCATATCGATGCCATAATCAGTGCACTAGGATAGGGCTGTTGCCATATTAAAATCTCCCACACACTACTCATCAGGCTCTTGATGAGCTTGCGTTACAGGGGTATGGGTATAGTGTCATTTGGCATTGGGAGGAATGGTTCTGCGCGCATATACGACGATAGATACGGAGAAAATCGTTCGCCTTGGTCAGAAGTTAATAGGCCAGTGTTATTTGATCAAAGCCGGGATGGTTTCCAATGTTCACTGAGTCCTCTGACAGATGGTTCTCAATCGCAGGTATAATCTAGCTTGTACCACGACAAGTACATGATCAGAAGTCTGGAATCGATCCCTGTCGTCACTGAGAACGGTGCCTACCTTACATTCAAATTCCGATTGAGGTATACACCGAGGGGCGGAAACAATAGACAGTCTGTCTTCTCACAATAAAGAAGAAAATTAAGCAGATGAGAATGATTTTCCAAACGGATGTCTGAGAATTTAGACTACAACGAAGGGGATCTTTGAGGACTTAAATCGGAACCTTGGACTGTCAAGTCTGACCCACAAAACAGTAGGGCATAATCTCTTAAAACTTACTGTGCTATTAATAAGATTGCCTATGTCACTCATTAGTTGAAGACATCTCATACTAGGGGTTAAAAATGCATCGGCAATTGGGTTAAAGATCACCACAAATTCCTTTTGAAATGAATGTAACCGGTCATCGTTAGAAGATAATCACTCATCGAGTGGATTAGTGAGCACAACAAGGTCTTTACAAGCTAGAGTACCATTTGATATGCACGTTCCTCGTCGGGGTTTTCAGGGAATTCCATAGTGATCAATGTACAGCTTACTGAGTGAAGAAAACTAGCATGGTTTGTACCAAGCGTTTTCTGGACGCTTACTTTCTACTTCGTATTGAAAATGAGAATTATCAGTACCCGGATTTCGAGGTCCAAACTCACAAGCAAGTAGCAGACCCCATGGTTATCGACAATGAATACACGATTAGGTTGTCGAGAACATTGTTTTAATTTGAATATGAGTCATTAAACCGCATTGCCAAAACAAAAGAAAATCGGAAACCCTCGTGCCAGTCATTTTGAGACAGTGTCATAGTAGAACAATGCTACCCAACTAGACCGATGCGAGTTGGAAAAGAACTGTGCGCGAAAGCTGAGTGGATGTCATGTGACGAGATAAACAACGCAGAGAACACCTGCGCCACCCTTGAAAGCAATCACGTGAAATCCTCGTCACCTGCCACTTGAGCTCAGCGGTGTGGTGTAGTTATGCAGACAAACTGCCCCCGGTTTGTATCGTCGGAGTTTTGCGGACTGTTTGGTAGAGCACAGACCATGGCGAATTCAGCTCATCGAACACCGTATCATACTGAATCAAGAGCGCTAGACAAAGCTATCATTTTCCAACCTTGTTTTCCCATGTACAGCTAATTGGTGACACATAAAACAGTAAACTTTAGTACCGACGATGTGCACAGAAAGGCATGAAAACGTTGTAAATGACTGCTGAATTCTGAACCAAGAGGAAAACACGGCTCAGATCTTTCAAATAGACTGTTAGTGAACAGCAACTGTGTAGAGACCGTGAGCTATAACACTAAAAGCGTTACAAGCGGTGTTGACTACATTTAAAACAGTGCATATCACAACGAGCTGGTACACACGGGGACACTCAAAGGTCAAACCAGTGCCGGTAATTAGAAGAACGAATTCGGCCGAGATTGTGGAGTATTAAGTTCACATAATAAGATATAAGTTGCATCATAGAACAAGTGTCTCGTAAAAGATAATCAACTATGTAAAATCTACCATGTTAACTTACTTGGGTCAGTAATGCACTTGGAGTGACCGAGCCATCTACCGAATGGGGCCGAGAATATGTTTGGAAAATATGAGCCTTCGGGTGCGGTTGCTCGAACAGTGGACCGGGACGAAGGCCGGGCACTAAGTGACGTAACTTATCGTCTTCGTGCCAGCTGAGAAGCAGGCGTTTCGCGTAGTCGTACCCGACATTCTGGAATTGGAGGGTGTTGGAACAAACTGGTTTGTTTATGAGCAGTACGGAAAATGAAAAGAATAGTTAATTGACTTTTGTCTTTATTATTGTGGTGCAAAAGGCAGTCGGTATGGTGCATCAATTGCGTGAACAACTGCGTTATGATCCTGTTGGAGATTGAGCTAGACGAAACGGATTTGCTGACAGAGAAGCGAACCACCCGTTAAATAAAGTCAAGTAGAATGCATCAGCCAATGAGAACAACGACAGCTTTGAAACAAGTGTTATCAGTAGTAGGCAAAAGCGGTTTTACATTGACTTTGCTTCCCTAGTCAGATGCTCAATTACGATCCGACACAGATGGACAGACAATACAAAATTGTGAGACTATTCGAAACGGTGGTCAAACAGTGCACGTTTATATACTGAATCCCACGACTGTCTACTGATTTAACTATTTTCATTTTTATCCCATGCAAACTTCTTTGGGTGAACGCCTTTCCCCCTCACAAAAGTTGATTCAATGAAAGGAAGGGTGAACGAAAAAGACAAAACGAGGGTAACAAAAAACTTTGTGGAGTGTGTTACACCCTCGATATCTACAAAAAACCAGTTCGATAAACAAGGTAACACGATTATTAGACGCAATTTACAGTTGTCGGGGAGTTTGGGTCTGAGAGCCTTAACATGATTTTCAGGAAATATAAGCTCCGATCGGGAAACAAACCCTTGGCAGTTTCGGTCAGTGTGGTGGAATTTGAAACGAACAAATAATTATTCCGAAAAATAGCGCTGCTGTACAATTGAGTTTGTGATAAATAAGTAAGGCTAACGAACATATGACGCCAGTGGTAACAGAGAGAGAGTGTGTTGCAAAAATCGGTCGCAGTTCAACGCGGGGTTATCGTCCGCGTGCCTTTAATTACACTGCAGCAGTGAACTGATCGAAAGCAATCGCCACCGGATAATATAACGGACAGGCTCAAAACAATTTTGTGTCCACCCGTGGACCGTGGGCCGGTACCAACTTAGAAAGCTATCAAGAACACTGTGCGGTCGATGAGACTGGCAAACTGGTGACCAGAACAGTAAAGTTTACCCTTCATTTACCGATGCAGCGATGTCCGTGGGAAAGTGATTCGCCGTGAACAAAAATGTGATAGGACGAAGGAATAAATAGTGCTTTCTGTAGAAATAGTTGGAGATTTTCAGACTATTGACGTGGCTATTATACGCGGACATTTAGTAATGGAGACAAACAATCCTACTGAAAACTGGGTGTCGAAAGAGATATAATGAAAACAGTAAAGAACAAAAACGAAGCAGCCTGTGACCCAAATGAACAATTTCGATCTGGCAGCTGCCAAGTAATATATCCAGGCACGAGAGATTTCAGAAAAGTAAATGTAGTTGGAAGTAGCTCTCACATTGATTGACGCAATTCATGAAATTGAATGTACGTTAAATTGTGGCATTCTACAGAAACAGTACAGCCTGAGCAATTTGTCAGTATCCTGCCTATTAGCACATCAAAAACTTATTGCTTTGCTACGACGATTATTGCACCATGATTTGACTGTCACAGAGTTTCAACTTAGATACGTGATATGTGTGTGTGAGAGAGACTAGGAGCACTTTCGGGGCCATATAAGAAGAGCGCGAAAGACTCGTGGTAACATGTGAGAAGGACGAAGCAGAACGAGATTCTTGGGTATATGCTATGTAAATATAATATTGACTAAATGAACAAAAATGCAACAAGTTATGTAAATCTCTTCTGCTTGTCTCATGTCGAATTCAGTAATCTTCAAGATAGTTTTAGGTGCACAAAGAGGATATTCACACGGGTTCGGTGATTTGATCAGAGGGGAAAGAAACGATTAAAAACAGTCCTTTCAGAACATTGTGAGTAGTCTTGTTAAGATAGATGAAATGAGTGACAAGATGCATGGAACGCCACCGGAATAGTGAGTGCGGTTGAGTTAATATTACTAGCAACTCAAAGAACGAAACAAATTACTTCACGCGTGTAGAAACATGATGCAACTACAAAACTGAGGATTTGATGGGAGAGCTTGTGAAAGGAATGCACTAGTATCGATCGTATGGATATATATGAACCGGGATGTATAAGGACGTTGATTCGAATGATAAACTGGTCGATCAGTTGAATCTTACAGTTGAGAATCGCACGGTTATATACCCGCGATGGGATCATTAGGCGATTGCAAACAAGAGTACTGGGTAGCTGTTTTGCCTGGTATGGGGTTCATAAGCGGTGCATATTTTTCCTCCCGCGTGGCACTCGAACCTGTCGGGAATCACAAAATCAATCCATTGAGAATAAATGTGCTCTACTTGTGGGAATCATTGAACTCCCAAGGAGTGAAGCCCATAACCAAAAACACAGTAAGATCATACGCACGACTAAGAGTGGGTCGGTCAATTTGCCGATTTACGTGAAAAGTGACAGATCCTCTTGTGAAAACCACAAAGGAATTAGTTTAATCAAAATTGCCTCTACAAGTCTCGCTGGGATCATACTCCGTTGATTTGTCGACCGCTTTATATTCTGGTATTATCTCTCCATGAAGGCTGAGCATGAGAACTTCATTTCAACTTTGCGATGTCTTTATGCTGATAATTGAAGCCGAGTGCGAGCTCACGGCACTTTTTCGCCCGAGTTCACCACAGAAAGCGGTATTAGTCCGAGTTGCCCTCTCTCTTTCTATTTAAATACGCTACAGCTATAATCCTGGAAACAGCCCTGACCTCGTGCGAGAATAATGGTACCAAGTCCCNGCCCCCCCCCCCCTCTCCAGATGGAAGACAGCCTGATCTGTAGTATGCGGACTACATTGTACAGCTAAATGAAGACCCGGCAAGTTGCAAACTTTTCTGGATAGTCTGAGTGCTAGTGTAGTTATGTTTGGCATATGTTTTGCACCTCCAAAATGTGAAAAGTTGATACAGGACTTGATTGGTTTGCTCCCAACCTAACTCAACTGGAGAAGCAATAGGGGCAGTGGGCATATTTTGATAAGTCGCATAGAGGATAATTTGTCGGAGCTCATCCAGAAGGCTCGAATGGCAGTTGCAAACTTGAGACACTTGTGGCACCTTCGAAACATCCGGCTGTCTGTGAAGGGTCGAGTTTATGCTGCAGCAGGTCGGTCAGCTCTGTTGTACGGTGAAGAGACTTGACCACTACGAAAAAAAGATAGACTGTCGACGTTCGAACACCGCATCGCACGAGTCAAGCGAGGTCACCGGACAAGCAATGCTCAGGCTAGGCAGAGTTTTAAAGAACCGAGATCACGAACTCGAACAAGTGGTCGCCTCCAGAGATTACGTTGATTGAGGCACGTCACTAAACAGATTGACACGGAGTGCGATGTTTTCCGAGGCAAGTGATGGGTAGAAAAGATTAAATGGTAATCAAGCTAGGAGGGTATAAGAACCTTGACTAGGAGACTCGCTCATACAGTTCGTATTAGGCTCCTAGGTTGGGGCCTTCGGGGTCATTGTAAACAATAGTTAGGGACATTGACTGACATGTCCGTGTTGTTCACAGAGGCGCTCGTGTATTTACTCATTATCCCTGCAACTTCAGTCCTCGTGATTTCTCTATTTTCCCTGATTCGAACATTCCAATCTTACCCTTCCTCCAAACGGACAGTGATAAGACAACAATTAGAAACGGCGCACGAAAGTGTATGGTTAACGGTTGTAAGAACTGAACTGTATAGCTATTTCGACCTTGTTGAAATACATCAGTGACGTGAATCTATCAACCTTACTGAGAGTCGAATCCCAGACTCTAAACGTGGATAGAAGACACGCTATCGACCTGATAATCGGGAACTAAATGGTCGGACCGTATTTGATTCTCCCTGCAAACAACATAGTACAGTTCAGGCGTTACATGTCACTTACCCCTTAGTTACGGTCCAGGGTTATGACTTAGCTGAAAAGGTTTTGAACCTGACCGTACAAAGTGGGAGAAATGGATGGTTTTATTCAACAATACAGCGAACCTCATCGTATGCATAGCAAACGATGATGATGAGACCCAACCAGGTTGAAACATATTTCTCATTGTGAAGTTCATGGTACATTTGCTCTATAGACGGTACAATTCACGGCATATTCGAATCGAATTCTCCACTAGTCTCATGTAATAAAATAAATTGTTTTTTGTTAACTCTGATATAGGCTATGGATGCAATCACAGGATGCGATTGAAATAGATTGTTGTTAACTAGATGAATGAAAAAAACTTGATTGAAAACCACAATCAAAGTTGGTACTTGATAATTAACTGCTCATTTTACCTCGATCACGCATTTATTTTGACCTTTTGTTGATCAATCAAACAACAACCCAGTCAGTATCCAGTGAGGAATGAGGTTTTTCAATAAAAAAATGTTATTGGTTAACAAACGACGCACAGAGGGTGATAAGCTACCACGAAAAATATCTATTTCGCCAGCACTTCAAGGTTCGTTCACATGGGCCATTTCAGAGTGACAAAATGCAGGAATTTCTTATCATGGCTTTTAATCCATCTATTTTGTTGGTTGGCAAGGTAACTAAGTTATGGGTTGGTATTTCGCAAGTTGGCAAATTTTGCAGTCACGAGATGGCACGATACTTTTGGCCTTATGATCACGCCACTTGCAATGACCTTGGAGAACATAACTGTGCGTGAATATATGCAGAACATATGTCCAATTTAGAAAAGCAACCATACTGGTAGAGGGTACGAAGTGAAGCATTTTATCAGATGCATTCAGTGGTATAGATGAAATCGGATGTTTATGCACATTGTGCAGGGATCATTTTAACAAAAGAAATACGGGAAGACGATCGAGGATGGGCAGTAGCAAAAAGCCCAAGGAACAAGGCGATGCGGTACATCCTTAAGTTCCGATGTCACGGGTTAAAAATTGAATTTTCACTAAATTCTAAGCGGAAAAGACGCATTCCTGAAAGGCTACTGATGTGAGAAAATCGAAACCTACACGTGATACGTTACATAACGCAACCGAATTTTCTCCGCGGGTGAACAAAAGGAAATTTATGCGAGACAGACCCGAGGCTTGGATCGACTACTGGCATGATTTGCGTAAAAGATGGCAGTATTTCATTCGGAAATGGGAAAATATTGACGTCTTGCGGTGCAGTATCCATCAAGGCTAGGAGCACGTTTACTGGGTCTAAAGATAAAAAAGGTTGTACTACCATGTCCACATAACGAAACGATTTCTCTCTCTTCATCGCTCATTGTCTATGACCATACAGAACCTATATTTTAGCTGAAACGGGGTGCAGTGTGGAACTTACATCACAACAGAAGTTATTGACTGCATGCAGCCTTGATCTGAACTCGGTCAAAGCTTTATTATCTCAGTTCGAAAAAAATTCTACAGGACAAGCGTTAAGCGGTTTCACAGAATAATCCATCTTCCGAGATTATTTGACACAATAAACAATGCCTCATTGACTTTGAATTGATCTGGAAGCACAATCTGTGTGGATGCAGAACACATTGCAAAATGATAAGAACAGTTGGTACTGAGAGGAACGAGCTATGGTTTGTCGTAAGGACGACAAATGATCCGTGGAAATCATGCTTCCGGTATGTGAATTTATGAGACATATAGGAACTATGGTGTCACGAACCACATTAGGTCCATACGGGAGGAGAAAATGAGGCAAGGGGGACGAACAACTGAAGACACTCAGTTGTTCAGCCCGAACAACATCAACTAATACTATCCGGTATCTGTCGCATCCCGCATCCGTTAGGCATATACTACGACGTCTCAGAAATAGCTCGGAGTTCCACTGTGCATTGAGTGTCTGAACGCTTTCTAGTTCATATTGCTCTTCTGAATAGCTTCGGAAAAAGCTTCATCGACGCCAAATAGATTAGAAAGTTTCAAGTGAGTAATGGAGGATTTGATTCAATTTCAAAGGTGAATTCATCGCGTATATAGCAAATTAAGCTTGAACTGAAAAGCCATGAAGCATTGGACAGCTGTTTCAACCAGTTTGGGTCTCACCAGCAGTGCGAATCCATCGACCCAACTGGGGATTGAACCCGGAAACTCACAGGCAGAACGCAAGCGTGCTACCCAGAAAGTATTGGAACACTGAAGATAAGCAAACACCAAGCAAGTTCACATGGGTCGATAGTGTAAATATGACTCACCAAAATTTCATCAAACGCGGAAAATTGCAGCGTCATATAGTGATCAATCGGTGGTCGCATATAATGACAAATCCCGCTCTTTTTCACCTTTTCCAATTGACGCACACAGGAAATGTAGGCCAAACGGGATTGAATCTCTGTCAGATTTGGCACCTGAGGCGTAAATACAAATCGAAACCGAAAGATACGAGTAGATGAACATAACCCTGTTACCACAAATCAGAACCGGTGTGCAACAATGCAGATTTATCACACGCATATGCAACCACAGACGACAGGAAATCAAAGAGGGTTCAGATGAGGTAGAGGACTTTTGTTCACGAATTACTTCTTGGTTTAGTTTTGGGGGGATTATAAATCCGTGAAACGACGTACACGGATGGGAACAGGAGGAAGAAAGTGTACATGAGTTAGAAGCCTATTCTGCGACTCTTTCAAATGCAGATTAAGTGAAGAAGTTCTCGAAAACCCTTAAAGTTTAAGTTTTTTACCGACACGCCCTAACGGAAGATATGATGGAGGGCGTGTTGAAATTCTGTTTCATTTTCGAAAGGTAAATGCTAAAGCTAAGAAAACAGAAACTGAGGGACTCCTGTCCGCCCCTCCCCCGCCCAGCTGATAAAAGACAGAAAACATAATTTTTCCTCCTATCTGTTTTACTTTCGTTCGTAATTATTTATTTACGTATGAGACTGGTGGTATGCGAAACAGGTCTCGTCGAAAGGAGAACAAAAAGCGCACAGAAGAGATTCTGAGAGAGGGTGATCAATCGATCGGTTGTTTTATTCTAACTAGATTCGTCCGATCCTGACTCTGAATTATGGTTACAGACGTCACAGGCCGCTCGGACGGCGGTGGTGAGTGGTTGTTAAGTTGTGGGACCGACAGGTTTACTTGGTGCATAACCTTGTCTATGGCCAGCGCTGGTCGGCATTCTTGCATGAAGACCAAACGAAAACACACGTCTCGAGATAGTAACATATCCTTGTTTAATCTCCTCAATCGCTGACGAATCATTTTACTTTAGCATTGGTAGAAAGACCAATAGACAAATGGGTTTAGTGTTGAAATTCGTTCGAGAAAAGTAACATTTCCGAAAGCGAAAGATAAGGATTTTTGAGAGTAATGTTCAGAAAATAGCGCAAGCTGTTGGTATGCATCTTCCGATTGATTCCAATGAAGTTGTCGGCACCTATCTTGGATAGAAAAAAAAGAAAGAACCGATTAATCAAAGCAATTTATTGTACCAGAATCAATACTTTTCCGTGCTGATAAAGCTGGTATTTTTATGTTTTTACTTAGAGCATAAATTATACGCACAATCCTGGTGCAAATGGCCAAAACATGTCAAAGCATCGCTTTGCTCAACCATGTTTTGCTCGACATATAATCTATCTGTTAGACACGTCCACGTCGAGTGGCGGTGTTAAAGATCATTAAATTATCACTCCGGAGGACGTGTTTTCGAATCTTTCCAACATCGTCTGACTTTACCCATTATATATGTTGTGGGGCAGCCTTTTGATTAGTCTCTTGCTCCTTCGTGAAAATGGTATCATTGTATATTCCATGAAAGGAAGTAAAAATTAAAACTGTTCCCAACATTACAAGTTCCCTGCTTCCAGCTGATTTTTCGTGGTGGCACCTTCAGAAGTAGACCCTTATGGGCGGGGGGACGGCGCTGCGGGTGCATTCTTTCCCTTATTGTTATTTGTCGAGAAACAGTCTAACTTTAGTCTTAAAAACGTTACAAAGAGTCGTGGGAATCGACTAACGACTAATATACTAGCCGACCTATTGAGGCGACACTGAGATCACTTATTCAAGTTAAGTGGAACTGCTTTTTATCCATTATGCAACAATCTGACATTTTCAAGTCGATAGTTATTCGTCAAAGTTTTCGCTTTCATATATACCCACCGTAAATCCTGGTTTTTATCTGATTTATTCCTAATTTGGGCGTATGTTTTTCTCTGCTCATAGGTTTTGAGATCTGAAAGCGCTTATCAGCAGATTAAATTTCACAAGCGACGTGTTGTTGTGTAAATCAATCGAACAGCGTGCGGTAGAAAATCTATTGAAGATTTTTCACATCTCCTCAAACAGTTGATTTTGAGAAATATTTTACGCATTTTGTCATATTCTGCTAGCGAACAGACTGATGATTACGTCCGGTTCGCCAAAAGTAATCGTCTTTCAGAAGTAGCACTTTCGGTTGTTCCCGAAGTGCGACGGAGCTACCGATTAGTTTTCGCACCACCACTAAGTCAAGTATGTGTATGAGAGAGATGGATCGAGACGTTAGTCTCAGGAAGTAATGATGCCGAAGAGAAGGTTGAATTCCAAATGGTTCTGATGAGAAATGTGATTTAAACTGCACAAGAGAAAAAAGTGCACTAGAATCGGGTCTCGAATTGTTGATAGAAGAAACACGAGCTGGATACCGGAGCCAACAATGTACGAAGCGGGTTCTTTTCTGATAAAAGTTTGTTTCGTGTACCATGTCACATGCGGTAAGAACGAATACTAATCTCACAGTGATTATTTGGGTACTGACAATTTGTATATTACATCCGGAACACTCCACCCGAAAGCGACGAATTTAGTCAGTGCGTGCTCTGTTCGCATTAGTTTTTATTGTCGCATTCAGATTCTCATTACATAAATACTTCGTCACCAAGGGAAAGTCTCGTTAGCATGACTGCGTCAAACTAATCCTAAGGAACTCGATTAGCTGTGAAAGAGGTGAAATTTCTCAAACGGAATACTAGGATAGGCCGTTAGAAATTTGGTAAAAATAGAAATGACCGTAATATGACTACGGACTATTACGCACGCGAACAACCGAACTGGAAGAACCGAAGAAGCGGTGATACAGCAGACTCCAACCGGACAGGTGGTCACCATAGTTTGTGAAGTCTGTGTCCACCGAGGCGCCCACATCGACTGCGAATATAGTCTTCGCACCGAAGGATGACATAACATCAGCTGAAAAAAGACCGAGAAAACGGGGTGACGGTGAAAATAAATAGAATGATTGCATCCCGATTTGTCGAAGCGGTTCCAAATACGATTAAAATGAAGCGCAACAGGCCTTTATGGATAACTAACATCAGACATGTGATCAATCGTATTAAGCGCTTGATAGCTGAATGAGCAACGTTTCCACGTTTTGGGTACGATCTGTTCTGGTCAGTCTATTATAGGTATTCAAAACGGTTACACACTGTAAAAAAAACTCTCTAGGTTATGAGTGCCAGTTGAAATTCTACGATGAGGTGACTCCAGGCCCCTGGTGAGCTCAACACACGACATAGATGAGCTAATGGTTAACCCCAAAATGTGAAAAGAAATGACTGGATAGATTAATAAAACATTCACCTTTTGTTCACAAGGCATAATACCATCTTTAACTCAACCAGAATGATGACGGTCCGGTTTCCGCTCAGCTGAGCAAAGCACCGGTTTGCGGTACATTCCGAAATCGGCTTCGCTAGTGGCCCTGATTTCAAAGCAATCATTCCGAACCCCGTTCTAAATCGGTTGGTCACACTAGTCTCTGTATGTATGACCGTCTGCGGCCAAGAAGAGTCAATTCTCGACATGGCGTGTGGAATGTGTGTAGTGAGGTTTGCTCAGAAAGGTGTCTAATCACAATTTCAATAATTAACTTCGAAGGTCCATCGGGGACAGAGGCAACCGACGTCTGAATTCATCACAGGCGTGGTTGATTCATCCCGCGACTCAACGACCCGAGCCCTGATCGTATGGTTTGATGAGCGTTTAGTCGTCACGCTTGTACTTCCGATACGACGAAGCATCTTAACAAGCAGTGTAGACCTATGCAGGCTGAAAATCGCAGACTAGACAGAAGTACGTGGCCAGTCAGGTTGAATATCACAGATAAATAAGTAAGCCAAGACAACAAATACACCGGTGAGCATCAGAGCAAACAAAGATGGTGGATTCAATCGATAATAAAGGTGAAATAATATGTAAATACATTGTTGAACCAAAGCCATTAGTTAATAGGCCACTTTTTCAACATACATACATAATTCCGTACCGCATTCTTCATAATCCATACTCAACCCTAAGGAGCCGCGAATGAGGAAAATGCCATGGATACAAAGAAATGTGTTTCGACAACGAAAAACCCTGAGGGTCGGATAGGCAAACCACGTACGATTTCATCAGAATAGGTAGAGTATCAGTAGGACAACGGTATAGCTGTTTGCAATCAAAACACGAATGTGATCATCTGAAGGTATGAAATTGTCACCGCGACTACTCAACGAATGCTCGTATGAAGCAAATACCTCGGAAGTGTGCATGTGACACTGTGCGAACCATACGGACACAACTGCGCACGGTTACATCATGTGACTAAAATGAAAACTCAAAATTATCGGAAATCGACCAGCAAATCAATGCCATGACTGTGAGCGAACTATAATAATTTATAGGTAGGTAAATTAAATAGATTAGCTAGGTAAGCGTTCTTCATGTTCGAACGAAAATTCAGTATTATTAGATGACGGTAGTCAACGTCCAGTGGTGGAGACGGATTTGAATTGTATTGAGCGTTGCCAACGAGAAACCAAATGAAGAAACTCACAGTCCTGCATACTGTATTCTATTTGTCGTCGCTGACGATTCCAAACAGGCAGAAAAAAGTTGCACAGTGATGCGAAAGCTTTTCGGTGTGATATGCCACAAGGTCGAATGAAGCGATGAACCACCATTTAACCATTTCATTGGCTACCACTCCGATTAAATCAATGACAACCAAGAATAAGAAAAAAAATATAATTCTTGTGTGAGAACCTAACGTTTGAAGTATTAAACGTTTATTTCCAGTAAGCCAGAAACCGTGTAAAACAAAATTAGAAGTTCGATAAGGAGTGAATTGACGATCAGTAATTCAAAACACAAGAACTCTTAACAAACAATGTTTAGAACAGGCGCACACTCTGAAAGAGTAGGTCACACCAACAACAGAATCACGGGGTGAGTGCAATGTTAGCATTGATAAGCGCAATTTTGGATAATAAATGGGTAGTCAACCAGATCGAAGCGACGGCGCAGCCCAAGTGTGTCACGAATATCTCAAATCAGGATCGTGTTGAAGCAAGCGAGTTAGAAAGCAGTGTGACAGGTGGAAAGACAAACAAACAGGGCACAACTGACCTGGTACGTTGTTCGTATAGCCACCATCTAGCAACAGACTGCCGTCGTACGGATCACACAATGGAGGCATATAGCCCGAAAGGGACATGCTGGCACGGACATAGCGCCAAAGCGAGCCTGTAATCATCGTGCGCGCATGTAGAGATAGGGATGGACAATGAGTGCATCCAAACGACCAGGGTAGACAGCAAGATGAGCAATGCATTTAGACAGCGAGAAGAGTGGATATATACGCAGAAATTCGCGATGCGACAGGCGCGGGAAACGTCAACCTGAACACAAATACACGCATTTTTACACCTAATTGAGAAGAAAGGTAAACTGCGTTTAATCGCGAACGAAGTTGTAATCGTGTAAAATCAGTTTTGAGTGGCATCGAATGAGCGAACATGACCAATTGCACCGTGACTCTAGCCTCCAACTGGAGTGGAGGAATTATCAGGCACCAGAGAATGATTGCGTAACAGACCGATGGAAGTCAAAAAGAATCCAGATGTTTATTTGATTGGGGAATAAATTCACCTTCAACAAGGTGCTTTTTAAGTGAAAAGAAAGACGTTGCGGACGATATGGGGATTGGCACTACCTGGAACATTGTTCATGAAAACTCCATCCAGAAGCATGTGACCGTCAAACGGGTCGCATAGAGGAGGAACTAAGGGATGATAGCTCATACTAGCTCGCACGTAGCGCCAAACCGAACCTAAGCAGTTAGAAAATGAATAGAAATCGAAAAACGGGGATACAACTGTCGAAATACCACTTGTCATGGCAACAATAGAAAAACATAATCCGATGAAGACTGTCGCGCAATATGACAGAACGAGAGGCATAATCCAATGCACTATTACTGATCACAGTGCGCATTGGTCTGTCTCCGAATGAAGTTCACGAGAAACATTCAAAAACAAACTGCTGATGAACTAACCAGTGAAGTTAGTCAAAAACAGTCCTGACACATACATGTACGCCATTGTGTTCCAAATGAGGTCAACGGTAAGGGAGATGATGGGGTATTTCTAACAAACACGACCGGATTTGGTTCGCATTATACTCACAGCCTATTGTGGAACACATAAACTGTTTCCGTCACTAAAAATATTGTACATGTTATGTAGATCTTAAGTATCTGATGGATAATAGAAAACAATAAGCTTTTTACTATCAACGTCCTTGATAATATCATCTCCAGATCATCTGGTACGATGGCAATAGTGTTTTTTCATAATGGATTGTTAGACTTGGTCATCAGTCAGCCAAATCAATCCAGGTTATGCGTTGAAAGCATAATTGAAGGAGAAAGTGAAAGTAAAACACGCAATACGAAGCAAATTCCGGACCGCTGTGAAGTACTGTTCCCCGAATATTCCTGATCAATCTACTGCTTCGTGATTGTTATTTCACGAAAACGTCGTGTTACGAAAATTCATGGGATTAAGAAACTCAACACGTATCATGCATGACTGGTGAGTGAAGAAAAAAGTTTTCAGTCCGTCTCATATTGAAAATTTCCATTGAGAAGGATAGAGTACCTTGTTTTACAATCCGACGGCTTCATGTACTACTACTACTACTACTACTATTCAATTAGGCTGGTTCCCACTCTTCAATTTACTTTACATTACTTCGGCTGGCTCCTTGAAAAGGATAAGCCGGCTCCAGACATGATCACGAAGTTACTTGGGAGTTTGGTACGAGACGTCCCCAGCGTCAATCGGTTATTTTATTTTGAGGGCGCACCTATAGCCTTTGTCCAACCTAGTGCGAACTGCAAGGCAGCAGGAAGTAAACCCTCGCCTCGTAATTGAGAGGGTCAATGGCTTTAGTTTTACAAGGGCAGTCACATCGACCTTTGTCACGACACCGTCACTGGGCTCCTGCGGCTTTCAAACAGGAGCCAGGTGACCAGCGTGAAGCGTACCACACCCTGGTAATACCGCCGCTGTTTGTTCGCGACTGCTTATTTGTTGCGGTATGCCACAACTTATTCACCGCTAACCTTCTTCGGTGAAGGTATCCACAAGCCGGGGACGCGCCTGGTAGCATTCAGCCCTGTTTAAGCCGAGGGTATCCAGTTCGAAAACAAGCAGGAAAAGAATGGCTCGGCATTCCAGTTCTGCTGCATAGCACATCCTGCAGGATGATAATGCAGCACAGGTACTTTCCTGTTCAGCGCAAACGATGACAGTTATTGGTGATTTTGTTCTGATCATGTATGAGGTAGGATTCCAGCTGGCCGGATGTATCTGTCCACTGTGATGTGCCCACTCACTCCGATCGGATACTGTTGATGAAGCTCGTTTTCGTATGTGACGGTTTTTCATTCAGCCAAGTGTTTCTTTTCCATGAAAGTCGAAGATAAAAACAGGTTTTATATGGACGGTAGCGTCACAAAAACAGATAAGCGTCCGAAATTCTCAGTATGATCGGGGGTGGGTGTCTAGGGTTGTGGCTGGTCACCCTTACCTTGCACTTCGAGAAATGCTCCTATACGACCAAGCTTCTCAAATAGCCTCTGCTGAGGAAGCTCTACTCACTGTCTTCTCGTGGCGGTGTTTCCCCATCAAAGTGAGAGGACGAAGAGCCGACATCCGGGGCTATAACCGGGTTAGTGGATCACTGGTAGTTCACCTAGAGGAGCTGGTAAAAAACCCTGATTCCAAACCAACTGAGAGGAGGCGCACTAACCTCACACACCTTCCCGGTTGTGGCAGTGATCTCCGGCTCGATTGAACATTGAGGTGTATTGGGCACCTTGGACGTTTGACTTCGTTCGAATGGTGAATGATCCGATGAACTGGACACTGGCCCCCAGAGGACTGCGGTTTTCACACATCGCCCCGCTGCATTACGAGTCAGGCTTTGGATAGCCGAAGGCTCCTGTGATGAACTCCTCAAGAGAATTCACCTCCTTTGGGCTGGGAAACCTGGAGGTATTTAGCCCACAAGCCAACCATGGAAGGTTTTTCTTTTTCATAAAGATTATTGTACCGTGATCTGTTTGGCACACAGACTGGCCTCAGACGAGTCTGAGGTCTAATAATAATAAATACGGATAACAAAGGTTATCTTCCTCGACACCTATGATACCTGTCACGAGTGGCGAAAGTTTGAACAAGGTTGGAGGATAATTCCCGCTCGAGGTGAATAACGCCGTAAACAGTGTTCTCCTAGTTAGCATTATTCCTGCAATTCACGTATCTACCATACAATTCGTTTTCCGATTGACTTCTTCAGGGGACAGTCCATAGCAGTTAGGCGTGAGATTCACAATTGCCAAAAATGGACAAATGCAAACAGCTGATTGAAACCGAAATCAAGTAAATCAATCACCACACAAACAAAATCTCGCGCAAGCATATACAGGCACCACAAACAACAGTAACCATAAGTGAGCCTACCTTGTGTATGAACTCGCATTTTGCAATTGGTAATGTCGGTCGTGATATAGAACGAAGGGATCCACAAATCCTCTACTTGCCGCTCGCCAAACACTTTCTCCAACTGAGCGTTAAATTCTTTGCCTGTGAGAAGAATGAAAGCATCAATTGATCCACGAGGAGAACCACTGACAATTGGGAATACACAATGCAGGCCAAAAAATGCAAACAACGCATGAGGTCATTTACGTTCAAGAGCTGACAAATACCGTAAGGAAAAAGAATGAATACAACCTTCTGACGAATAATGCACCATTGATCTTACCAGCTAACCTCCTTGCCGTGCGCCTACTGTTTTGTTCCTGGTCTCTCAAAAGGAAAACATAAGAAGATTCCTACGTACATGGATTTTAATTCACCAGATCAAGACTAGTCGACATTCAAACAGTACTGTTTTTCCAATCAACCACAGGGTTTTAAATTGTTGTCTCCTACGGTAGCACAGAGCACATATCTTGCATAAATTGCACATCCCAGATATACGGCACAAACATTTCGGATACCAGATATAGATTCCAAATTAAACACGAATAGAGAGAGACACACACAATCCGGACACAGAGGAATCCCTGAGCAGTGATACAACGAAGAGCACATCTCTCCCGAAATCGGTGAAAAACGCGATGGTCTCACGCCAGCTAAACATGCGCCAGACAACGAAATCAACTGAATGAGATGCAGAACCGGAAGTAGTTCGTCATTTCGAGGATACGGTGTGAACGTTTGGTGTAGCGCACATCATGAGGCGATCATTCGCGGGGAAAATCCGGCAGTGATGTGAGAATGAAAACTCACCTCGGCGTGGATCTTCCTGCATTAAATTCCCACAGAACGTTCGCTCCAGGTTGAGCCAGAGAACAATACAGAACTATCAATCGACATCCTCAAACAAGGGTCAGCGTCGTTTAAGCTACTTCAAATCCCTTCATCTGGTCGGGAGTAGATGTTTCAGGACTTGAGACGGCCCCAGGAACAATCCTAAAATGGTCAAACACCCGAAAAGGTTTCTGCCGAGGTAGTTCTACCCACACCTTCATGTGATGGATGGAAAAGGTGAATCCCGGCGCATTCCATACAGCTGAATGACTATTACAAATCAGCTTAGTTAGAAAACTGGTTAGAAAACCACCCATACTCGGCTTACGAAGCCCATAGTCATTTTAATCTCGGTACAACCCCGGATTCGAATCTAAGATCAACTGTCGGATTCGACTGCCATTACGACAATCGGTAAGCGAGTGGATCAAGGGTAAACTGGATTGTTGGCTGCATCCAAAAGGTGGATGAACTAGTCTGACAGTCACCGGCTCACACAGTCTGGTGTCCTTTAACATCAGAATGGGCTCGAGTAGGACTTTAAGCAGGCTCGACTCATACGATCTTAAGCATTGGGGATCCGAGTAAGCTAATCAAATTAAGGCCTTCATATCTTAGAGAGACGACCCAACTGCATCTTTACGGGAAACCCGATGCGTCAGAGTCTGCTCAAGCAGGCGTGAACACAAGAGTCAGGACTATTCAGTTGGATTGGATCCCGGTAAGCGGGAGTCTACGCTCAATGAGATTCAGAGGTTCACGTAAAGTCAATCAGTAAAGATAAAACAAACTTCGCTTGGTCATGGTTTCCGCATACGTCCCGACAACCTGCAGTTCAGACGCATTTGTCACCTGTAGTCCGATGAGTCTCATCTTGGAGGTTGTCGTAATCTTCACAACAGTCGTTCAGATAATCAGGATAGGCTTCTTAGTTGGTGCGTATAATACATTCTGTTCTCAACAGATTTTAATATGGGTGTGGTTTGTAGCTCAGGCTGATGGTTTGTGGGGTCTTGTGTTCGCTGAGCTCAGCGAACACAAGACCCCACATTCTGTTCTCCAGTGTCACGAACCTCAGAGGCCCAGAGCGTCACCAGGATATCTGGCGTCGCAATTCATCGATTCAGGCGTTGATCCAGATTGATCACCTATTAAAAGGTTACAGATGGTGAGGATGTGTGAAAGGTTCATTCGTATGTTTGGATTTGCGTTAATTTTATTTATGTGGTCTTGCATCTGCACTGAGGAGAAGCAGACATCATGAGTGTCAAACCATCCGATCCGGCTGTGCTTGTCGACATTTCAAACGAGTTCACTGAACTGTTGGCTAATCTCTCACCAGGAAGAACTATACACTCGACAACCGCCCAATGGCAATCCACGCGATCGGTTCACACAGTCGTAACCTGATCCGAAAAGATGAGACACAGGGTTTCCTGTGACTCTCTGATATCCTGAGGCGCGCTGAGCAGATAACAGAATGAACAGCGCTCCTCTTTTAAACACGAACTCACAAAGAGACGATCGAAGTTGTCAGGAGAAGCCTAGCCTTCTGAGAATTCTCACGGTATGAATCAGAAATGGATTGGAANGGATTGGAACCAGTCGACACCGTGTGAACGTGTCGGCGTTTTCTCGATGATACTAGATACGTGTGCGTCAAAGTAAAAGTACCGAGTACGGTAAACTGATTTCTAGCAAGTCCTCCATCGCCGCCCACGTAACTCCCATTACGGACAAAAGTCTAGACAGTGAGCGACCCCATAAATACCACACGCCTTCCTCCTTACTTGATCACGACTACGTTTTGGCTGGAGATACTAATACAAGCTCGCACTGCTCTCCAGCTGTCTTTTTACTGGGATCGTTGGGATAAGCATCGTAAGACCAAGTTCTGTGATAGTTCGACAAGACACAACAAAATGGCGACGAGAAAATCGGAAATCTCAGTGATTTTTTCTGCAAACCAATTTCAATACCTGTTAATGCAGCAACAACAGCAGACGGAAGCTCAACCGAAACTGATCGAGTCATTGACGCAGCGGCTCAACCTGCAGGCAACAGAATCAGTTTCGCGTGAATTCCAGTCCAGCTTTACTGAAATGCTTGCCAATTCAATCGCTGAATTCAACTATGATCCTGAAGCTGATCACACTTTCGAGGCGTGGTTCAAACGCGGTGAAGACGTGTTCTGAGCAGATTTCAGTTGTCAAGACGATGCATGGAAAGTGTAACTGCTGGTTCGAAAACTTGGAACCAATGAACATTCCAGATTTGTTGACCCTATTCTTCCCAGACAACCTAAAGATTTGAAATTTGACAAAGCGGCTGCACAATTGTCAAAAATCTTTGGTGAGTCAGATTCATTGTTCAGTATCCGATACGAGTGTCTGAAAATTGGTAAACGGGTTGGAGAGGATTATGACATGCTTGCTGACCGAGTCAATCGTGAGTGTGGACGTTTCTAAGTTCGCTCATTGACCGATGATCAATTCAAGTTTCTCGTTTTCATCACAGTACTGCAGAATCCCGAAGATGTTGACATTTGTACCCCTTTACTATCTAGACTGGATCGAGATCCGGATATAGACCTGAAGTCTCTAGTGGCCGAGTGCAAACGTCTTCTCTTCTTGAAACGTGACACTGCGTTGGTCGAACAGAAGACTCATAGCTGATAATCATTCAATGCGTCGCCCAGAGAATCAGCCATCTGTGACGAACTTCAAATCCATGAAATCCTCCCAAGCAAACCACCCTCTGCCTGTTGGTCGTGTGGCGATTGGCATTTTGTACGTTTTCGCCCATTCAAAAAGCACATCTGTCAAAAGCGCAATAAACGGGGTTCCAGGGAAGAATGCTGCTGGTGAACCAGACACACTCAAACCAGTCAGAAGAAAGAGGTTCTACATTCGAATGTGCAGACCAGGGGTTTAGACTCGACCAAAAGGCTGAACGGTGACAGGGACGTGGCCTGCAATCCGATTCCCCGGGATCAACGTGGATCATTGTAGTCTGTGCAACCGACCTATCTTCTCGTGGGGGAGTGGTGTGAGAGAAAAAGATCAATGAGATCAGTTATATACACAACGGCATGCTCGTGACACCGGACTAGATCATTCGACTATAACTGCTGAGAAGATACAATTCACAAAAAGGTAAGGCGGCCGAACTGACCAGAAAAGATTGATACGGCCGGATAAGTGAAATCCTTCACTCGGTTCCAAATGGAATTCAAACTGTCGGTAAACTTTTTCGCCCGTTGGGTGAACTGCGCGAACCGAGTTTCCTCCGCCCACAAGGCGCTCATAAATGCACCCATACTGGTACCACCGATCAAATCAATTGGTACTCCAGCATCCTAAAACGCGACAGGGGATTGAACAAGAACAAACGGGTTTAAAGCCAAAATGCACGAATTGAATGATCAACTGAAATGAGTGAAATAAGCGCTTGGCGAATAATATAGATCGGTAACGCTCTAAAACAACAATGGAAAAATCATGCATTTAAACAATCGGATAGGCACGCTTGTTGATAAGCTGACCGACTATATCCGCTTGAAGTAGACGAAGAAAACAAGCATTTCGATTGGTAGACATTTTGGGTATGATTCCGACCGGCATGCTTTCGGAGAACACCGAGTTGGAGCAGAGAGTTTTACAAACGCATTTCTACCATTTCTACAGTGGCTAGTATCCGAAAATGAACCTGAACTGATAGACGAGCACAAACTGTATACTTGGAACGGAATACGTCATGTTTGTAGTAGGAACAGTTACAGCTAGGTGTGAAATCACTGATCGTATTTGTGAATGACTGGACCGTCTCGGCTTTAAGTCAGCAGGATGAGGTTTACGAATCCGGTCGGACAATTGTCTGACCATGTAGTTTATGTTCACAGGAAAAAGCAAATGAGCACAGAGAATGAGACGGCAGGGTGGGATATTTTGTTCTTAAAACATAAACACACAGTGGGCTTGGACGTGAACAATACAATGAAGTCTTACTGCATGGAACATTTTAACGATAGCTTTGGACTGCCTGCTTTTGATGATTTTATCTTATGCCCAACTTAAAAAGACCAACAGAACCCGATAACTTTTTCTTAACCTGGCTTCTTGAAAAAGTTCTGGTCGCATAGGATCACTTTATTAACTCAGTATTAGGGAAATTCGTTGCGTGCAACGATCACTTTGAGAAACTCGAGCTCTTCTATCCTATCCTCGGAGTAAATCTTCATTACCCGATCCACTAAGCAAAAAAAACACTTTCTATCATGAGCAGTACAAACCTTCGAGGATGTATTAGTCTTTCCAAGTTGTCGTTCTATGCACGCACATTAAACACACACACGAAAGTCTTGTGAACAGAATCGATCGACGAGAGGTGTGTCAAATCTGAACATTCAGGAACCAAAAAATCACTCATAGTTGAATATCGACTGTGTGCGGATAGTCGCAAACTACTTCGGTGCCGGATCGCAAGCCAAAAACATCGAGTTGGTCAGTTCAGTTTTTACAAGTAGAAACCGCATAAAACCGTGAGCGGTTCTGCTTTATTTGTGACTGCTTCTCCGCGACCCATTCAGTTGAACGATGAAAACTAAAAGAATGCGGGGCAGTGGTAAGATACCAATACAAAAAATAAGCGAACTAGATCTGCGCGAAAGAGCGCTAATGTTTCAAACAGGGAGTCATTTTGCCCCATGTTTTTAACTAACAATTAGGCTGGTCCGAAGGTCTCTGGTGATGGGGGGAGAAGTCCAATATGATAAATCAGACAATCTGTTTGATGACAAAGAAAAATGATCTTCATGTAGTGAATGTAGAAGAGGTATGTTACTCAATTAGCCATGACAAAAAAAGCAAACAGATTTTTTTTTGAATAGGCATCACACGATGAAAATGCCGTTATTAGTATCATACTTCCGGAAGGCTTTTGTCGCACAAAATTCACCTTCACGATATTTTGCTGATGCTAGAATTATCACGTGAAAGGACACAAATTGTTCATCTCTGCATATTATGATCATCACGGGTGCTCAGGTATTCCAGTAAAAAAGATCAACATGTGACCAAAAGTAATGCCAGCCAAATTGAATACGGAAAAAAAAGAACACTCAAACGATTATAACTATGCAGACTGAACTTACTGCAAAATTAACACCTGCCTGATCTTTTCAGTATGCAAATCACTCAAACAAAAATTGATTAATGTGTCTTACTGATAGACAGAAATTCAAAAATCCTTTAGGGCGTAAAATTTCTACCCTGTGGTAAAAGCGAACAATCCCAAGGTTCTTAACCATTTGTAATTTCATATACCATCGTCCATCGAGAACTGGCGAGGCAGACACAAATAAGACATAAATTTTAATCCTCAGGGCGGAGGTCAAACAACGTATTTGCACTGGCACCTCCTACATGAGTTAGAAACTTTCATTGATAAATTGAAAAGTTTACCGAAAATTAAACAGAGCCCAGACAAATCATGCGACCGTGACCTGATTCTCTCAGTTCGTTTGCAGTAAACAGTTGAATGAGAATTACGTAACTGGAAACTTACAGTATGATATGAGAATATTGACGGGAAGCACACAGCAGATTGAAAATCTAGAGGGACATTCGCTATTTTGACTTCTCGGTATCTCCGTCCGCATGAAGGAAAAGTAGCGCATCACCAGAATTAACCTTCAGCATACTTAAACCGGTTATGATCGTTGAGTGTGATAGCTGACCAGTTAATTCAATAATAGACTCGCCATGTTCGGCTTCCATCACGACGATTCTTCAACCTGTGCTGCTGTTAAGGCTTGCATGTCCATATGACCTTATCAAACCGCAACTTCTCCCGCAATGAACCACACCACATATGGAAGACCCTTACTGTTCTTATCGATAGACTCAAATTGATTACATTGCCCTTCGCCACCGCCGGCAAGGACCTATTCAGGAATACCGCCCTACCCGGTCAACACTCGTGTATACGAACTCTGCTCTGCTGTGAGCCAGGTTCTGACCGTGGTCGATAAACAACCGCAACAAAGCCACCGGAAACGGATTCCCACAGGATCGGGCGAAGCTTTCTCAAAGCCACTCCTCTTAGTCACTCATTGAAAGACTAGGGTATAAAAAGTAGGCTAATCGAGGAAGTCATTCGAACGCTTATCAAAACAGTGACGAATTCTGGCAGACAATTCAACAGAAACGATGGAAATCCTCGACTTCAGCCGCTTTGCTAAACGCTCGCAAAGACATTGCTAAGGATGGTAAGTAGAACTATAAGCGTAAATCCCTTAGTCGCCAGCCCATCAAGAGTTTGAATGATCGCGATAAGTGGTGGATTGCAAATTGTAAGAAATGGGAACGGTGTGGTTATTGGTAAAAGTCGCAGTTTTTCCCGTCTGAATAGGACTACGGGTAAACGGGAACCGGGCGTGAAGTTAGCAATAAGCCCGACGGCACACTGATTCACATACAACAACACCACCTTCGACGACAGGCAAAACAATCTAAGACAGTGTTCAAATGGTCTGCACTGACATTATATTTTCCAACTATTATTTCAACTAGACAACTACGGCCGATTGATACCAGTCCTCCGTCTGAAATGGAGGTTTTCAGGAAAAAAAAGAATATCTAAAACAATATAAGGCCTGTGGTTCAGAGAGGGTATCAGAGTTTTTAGGAATGGAGGTTTTTCGCCTTGGTCTTAAAGTTAACCAAACTCGTTTATTGTAGGAAAACTAAATAGCTTCTAGATGAATGACGTGAGCTGAAAATTGTACCGATTTAAGAAGAAAGCCTATACATCGCATGGTAGAAACTACAGAGGAATCAGCTTAACCAAAATTGTCTATAGGCTTATCGTTGACATTATAATCTGTCGAATGTCGTTCAGATGTGAACGGGGCATGTGAGAGCTAGGCTGGATTTATCCCTGATTGAAGTTGTATGGACCATATTTTCACTCTACCACGAATTCTGGAACACATACATATTCCTTTCCTAGACCCACTTTATTTTTCTTCACAGATTCGGTGAACCGCACTGTATTCCGGCGCGGCTCCTCCATAAAGGATGTGCTGGGGAAGTTTATTCAATGTATATTACGATCCGTTTACACTAATATATCATAATACACGCGTCTGTGCTACGAATGTGCCAAACAACCCATGGTATAATGATCTGTGTAAAAAAAGAAATGCTTTCGGTTTCGTTTACGACAACCAAATCATGGTACAATAATCTTTATGGAAAGGTTGTTAGGGGACTATAGAATAGAACAGTACATAAATTGTCTGCTACATCGTACCCAGTGGAGACATCCCATACGAAGTGCGGCAAACACCCAGGTGTTTGTCAACTTGCAACAACTATGATACCACCATGATTTTCGGATCGCCGCGGAGAGTCGAAAGGGGCGTGCAGCAGTTCGGCCGGTGATGAGACCAGTGTAGGGATTTTGCCGTTGGGGAAACGGGATAAAAATGGACTGGCGATGCTCGCACATCGATATCTTCTCTTTCTCTTCCAGTAAACAGACAAGGTTATGCACAGATTCAAGCAATCGCGTTCGCGCACTGGAACAACTGCTCATATTCCATGATGGCTAGGAAATATGTTACACATTTTACCATATAGGTTGTCTCGGTGTGCGATATTCACCAATACAGGCGGTGGTTCAAAGTAGGTCAAACTGAAACGTGGCATGAGTGTATGGAAACCCAGACCATTGGACTCGGTCAGTTCGGTCGCGTTGGGTTTCCTGGTTGATGACCTCGGAATCAGCGCAACGGGCTGTAAAAAGACAGCGACCAAATCTGCCGCACAAAAGTCCAAGGTTAAACTAAACTGCAACATGTTCGGCCTAACAGTTACCCATTTGTTGCGAGTGATTCCTAACTCAGGCAAGCTTTGTGAAGTGTATTGTAAAAGGAGGATGGTCTAGATAAGAACACAATGGATCAAAAACAGTGTCGCTTCTTACTACGATATAAAGTAAATTCATATCAAACAAATTGAGGTCATCAATTTTTAAATAGGTGCACAGACGTTCGCTCAAGTTCAAAAACTTATATTCTGCTATCGAACAAATATAGCCTTGTGACGCGGAGAATTAACTGACGCTAGATGTCAAAAATCAAGTTCGCATATGAATCCATGTGGCTTGGAACAGTATTCTATGAACAGGATTTGTCGATGAACGATCGGCCCCTGATTTAGCAAGGTCCACACATCCGTGCAACCAGATACAGACCAAGAAAACAAATGAGTTGTAGTTTGACAGGATTTAGAACTGATTTTTGTAGGGATAACGAAAATGAATAACAGGAAACTGCCAAATGTTATGGTGCATTTCTAGAATGAGATTACTGCATATTAATTGCCGCCCATCGCAAGAAAACTGGATTCTCTTATCGACAGTGACTAATGGAGAACTGAAAAAAGGATTCGCGTCGCTACCGAAAAGGTAACCATTTAGTTGGTGTGTTTTGATTTGATGCCTGGGGGGGAGCGAAACAAACAGTGCAAAAAACAACTCAATCATTAAGCTTTCCGAATCTCTCGATGCCAGTTCAAATAACTGGAAACTCTTACCTGCATTTATGAGGACCACTTGGCACATAACAGGACACGATTACTTAAGCACGGTTCGTTCTGTCTGAATCCCTAAATCGATGGAAATCATTTCAGGATATGTCGGGGACACATAGATTGTCCTGGAAAACAGAACGACAAAACGTGCTTCGTGCTGACCCCACCCACAGATCCAGTTACATACTCTAGCAAAGCGACCTTTCGATAAATAAGGATTGTGACACGTTTTTCAATGTGAATGGGTATCGAATGGGTATGGTTTTTTCCATCAGATTACTTGCATTACACTGTTTTTTTCCACTGCCTTCATGATCGGGGCCACTGTTAGGTGGTTGGAAACCCAGGATTGATCACGACCTTCCTTTTGTAATCATATTATTGAGAGACTCTCTGCGGCGTGAGGAAGTGTTGCCACCAAGGAAGAGTTCATGAAGAATTAAAAAAATGTTACAAAGTGACATCCGCAATATAACTGGACCTCTTATCTATTCACGACGAGCAGAGGCGTCCAGCTCCACCGAATATATACTATAAATAGCCTACAACTTTCGAACAATATGTTCAGCTTACATGTGATGGAAATGTTTGTGATAACCGACAAAAAACACTGGATAGCTGTTTTGTCCTGTTTGGGACTCGTCAGCGGTGCGTACCTTTTGTGTCCCTGTCACGGCTCGGACCGCGAACAGGGACACAAAAAGTACTCACTCACAAACAGGAATAAACAGTTGTCCAGTGCTCTCTGTCGGTTATCACAAACACTTCCGTCACATTTAAATGCATGAAATTGTGGGGAATCAACGATCTCCCAAGGAGTGAAACCCACACCCAAGAGTGTCTGGTGCCTCTTAACAATCGAATGGGCTAATCCAAGCTTGCTACCGTAAAAATATGTTCATCTGTTCGATCTACCTATGAAGCGCCCGGTTCGCCAGTTCCATGAGCTTGGCAATTTGTTTGAAAACATGTCATCAGTGTTTGCGTAGCCGCCGTGTTTTGTTTATACCCATTTGTTTATATATATTCTTCTTCAGCGAAAATTTTGCCCCTCGCTTCCACTGTGTTCACCTGTTTGGCCGTTCAGCTAGCACGAAGATAGAGAGAGGAGTGTTCTTCGATCCGGATTGTGGTTTTTGGTTCGTTCTCCAGTCAATTCATCCTTCACATTTCAATAGCAGAGAGCATTCATCAATCCAAATGAGGATCGAACATGGGACTTCACAGGAAGAACGGACGGCTGAACAAACTGTTTTCCATTTTACATATACACTGTACAGAACAACCCACATTCACAAGCCTGATGCAGACATCGGGGATTGCACAACAAAGCACTAGGATTCACAATGATGATGAGACCCAAACAGCTGAGTTCAAACATTTCACTTTCGATA